TCTAGTCTCTTTGACCCAGGATTCGGACCCTAAACCTATTTCATGTTATTAGCTTCCACGCTATGCTAATTAGCCACTTACTTTTATTACATCACGGAGAAATAATCTAAATTACGAAATACAATGTATGCGTTTGATAGCATTTGCTCATATGTAAAATAAAATTCGACTTTGATGTATGAACGTGAATAAGCCTAACGGAGTTTATTGACATGGACATCCTTTTTAGCAAAAACTGCAAAATGATGTAAAAGATTTTTCACCAGTATTTTGTATCTAAACTCGCTGCCAGAATTTTAGCATGACACCATGTCCTTATTGGTAGTTTGTATATTTTAAGTTACTGTTGACTTACGTTGAGATACACACCTTAAGTCCCTGAAATTCGGTACACAGCACCTACACACTTGTTTGACCATTTTCTTACTTAACGATTGCCAGAGCCAAAATTTTCTAAGATCTTTTCAATATAAAGAAAGAAACTTTTGCTAGATCTTAAGTTATGACATGTACCGTATTTGTAATTAAATTGCATTATTTATCCACGACCTATAATATTTATTGATTAATTATTAAAATGAAACACATTTTCCTTGTAAGAAGGACCTGAGAGATGCATACATCATTACATAATGTTTATATATTTTTTGTAGTTTTTAAACTAGTAAGGTTTGAACCCTCGGCCCTCAGTTTCAGATGTTCCCAATAATTCTAGGCTATTTGTAATAAATACTTTTAAAAATCATAAAATATTATTGCGAATAAAAACATCAAGTAATACATGTTTCCCGTGGCATCGAATTTATTCATTTTATAAAAACATTTAAGATATAAATTTAAAGAACATGATACGGTAATAAACTCCCATATAACTCCATCACTTAATAAGACATACGATCCACATGGTAATAAATGTTTTTGCATGTTATCGAAAATGTAATAACTGTTCTAGCACTTATTACAATATTAAACCAGAAAGCTAATATAAGTTATTGGGTGATTATCAATAGATTTGCCACGTGATATAAAGAATAGTAAAATTAATAATAAACATAAAATAGATTGATTTCCTCTATATTGTTTTCTAAATCTATTTTTTCAATTTTCATATCTTGCCTGTTCTTGTAAAGAAAAATATTATAAATTTCTTCACCTAAAATTGTTATATTTTTATCAAATCAATTTGAATAATGAAAAACGTTATCGTCAAAATAATGACAAAGAATTATTTAAACGACTTCAATAATAATGTAACAAAAATACAGACTATTAACCGATCAGATACCACTTATGTGACAAAATATCTTATTTCCATCTTTTATTTATTGCTCATATTTTCCGCATGTCATGGCGTAAATTGCTTCATTTTTGAAAAAAATTCAATAATTTAAACGATTTTGTGAAGTCAGCAATAGGCAATAAAGTACATTGTTACATTCTTAAATTGGTTCAATCCCATACATTTTTTTATCAAATTCCTAGGTTCTATTATTCAAAATATTCTCGGGCTCAGTTAGTCTCATATTTTTCGTTACCTTGAATAATTATTAACATGAAAAAGCATTCATTTCTTTTTATTTATTTATTTATTTATTTTATTTAATAATGTAGTGGTGTGGTGTTTTCACTCCGGATCACGACAGTTAGCCACATGGAAATCACCAGTTCAACCACCGCATCGTTCCTTGGCAGGCTGTCAAGCAGTTTACCAGTACTAGTTGCCTTCACTTTCGCAAGGAACTGAAACTTCTGTACACTCTCTACAGTACAGTGCGAATGACCGTAGAAAGGATTCCATGATCAATCACAATGAAAGTGACATGCGCCGTCCGGGAATCAAACCCCAGTCGCCCGATTCACAGTCCAATGCTCTACCTATTGAGCTAACTGGACGGCTTTTTATAATATATTTTATTTTATTTGATTTAAGGAAACAATATAGCAAAAATTATATGAAGAAGAAGAAGAAATAGTTTATTTCGATAACTTATACATTTACTGTATCTCGTTACATACAATAATTACAAATATAATAATTCTGTGGTCAGATGACAAAAGCAAAGAAAAAAATATATGACAAACGCCCAAACTTTTAAATATTCTTGAATTAATTTAATAGCGAAAACTACAAAAGATCTTGCAACTTTTTAATAGAAAGCTTAAAAAAAGAAAAAAGAAAAAAAAAAAAACCACAAAATTAGATATTTTGCCAGCATCAAAAATTTTATTCATCTGTAAGTACAGAATACTCATTATGCATATATATTGTCTTATTATTATTATTATTATTATTATTATTATTATAATTTCTATTTTATGATTATGATCATCATTATAATCATTTATTATTTTTATTATTATTATTATTATTAGTAGTAGTAGTAGTAGTAGTAGTAGTATCATCATCATCATCATCATCATCAGCATCATTATCACCATCATCATCATTCTTTCCCTTCTTATCATGTATGATTTAATTATCATATATTGATTTCATGGATCAAGGATCTTGTGTGATTTACTGCATAGTGAATCTTCTACATAAAAATTATCTCATACAATTACTTGCTATCCTTTGTGCATAAATACTAGATAACCCAATACGAAACGCAACTTTCCAGCTCCGTTATTTCCAGCAATTATTACAGATTTGGTCCGGATTCTAGTTAGTGAGAGCTCGTTGATAGAGTACAGTCTTTGAAATCTATATTTAGCTTAAATTGTATACAAGTCTAAAAAAATACGAGCCCAGGAAGAAAACTTCAAATACAGTTTTGGCATCTATATGCTTAAAGTTCGATAATTGTCAATTTCTGATTATTTATCAAATATGTGACTCACCTTTTCTGAAAGTGAGTCAGTTTTTTGAGATAGTCCAGATAATAAAATTAAAGAAAATTACAAATTTAGATTCAGATACACACAATGCTATGTGAAGCATTGTTTTTGACAACTCGTGTCACATATTTTGTGTGACTCGAACTTACAAAATGGATAAACGAGGTTATGACATCTTAAAATAAACTATTTGGATTACCTACCTAATGTAATGAGTTAAGATATAACATTGCATTGCTGAAAACAACAAACCATATGTATTCGTTCATTTAATGAATATTCTAATGGGGAAATGTATTGTAAATCTATCAGACAAAATACAACTAGATAACAAAGATTTATGTGGTTGTCATTGTTTATGCACAACCGAGTGAACGGTATCAAATGAAAAATGTTGTTTTGTTTTATTCAAAGTATCACGGATATTTATGCTCATTTATTGGTGCTTTTTTATCTGAAAGGAACGCCTGTTAGTGACGTTACTGCTATTTATTTAGTGTCGTGAAGTAGACGACATTTTCCGTGGTACACATTTGGAGAAGACAGTTCAGGGGAAACTTGAAGGAATGACACAAGGTTGTTAGTGTTGTGGTACGTAACACTTTTATTATTATTATTTATTTATTTATTATTATTATTATTATTATCATTATTATCATTATCATTATTGTCATTATCATTATTATCATTATATTTGTATTTTACTTGTTATGTATAAGATAGCCTGTGCATGTAGCTATAAGTCTGGCTTAAACGGTAGCTTGAAATTACCACTACCGGTACCGTCCATGAAAAGGCTCAATCAAACCGAGCCTGTCCATGTTGGACTTTTCTTTAGGTATTCTGTTTCCTCTATTTTAAAAGTATTTATAATGCGTGTACATTAAAAATAAGCTTTATCCTCAAATATAGTAAATATAGTAAAATTACCTAAAAATATGTGATCAAATTCAATATTGTTTATTATACAATATTCAAAAATAAAAATGCAAATTTAAATAAATACTTAATCTCCAAATTTGTTAAAAGAAATTAATGTGCCAAAGTTTATTTTGGAAAGGGTCGATACTGTCACCAACCTCATTATTATAATCCATGGTCTCTGACTTTTTCTTTTAATTTTGGGTACATTGTTGTAGAAAAATGCACCGTGTGAGTTCAATTGCACAGGAAAATAACCACGAAGGCCCAAAAGTCTGAGTGATTAATAACAAAGCATTTTCATTATTATACTTTAATGCAGGAACAATTTAAATCTATTTCTATTCTAACATGCTTATATTAAAGAGAGTTGACAAAAAGATGTTTAACTACACTGAGTGTATTAATAACTGACGTCATTTGGTTTGATGAACAATCATTGTATATGACAATCATTGTATATGCATGGAGCGAATCAAAATACAATGTCCTGCTTAATTAAAAAGCAAATCTTTCTATGGTAGGAGTATTGTAATTAAACAAGATAATAGTCGTTGGTAGACGATCTTACCGATTAATTCCATCTGGATGTTTTAGTAAAATACGAGAACCCTTTTCTTTTGCCTTTTTGAGTTACATCAAGATGCTGGTCGTCACATTGTTGATAATTATATTGGATGGTGATTGGTTTAGTGTTGACCAGAGCATAATGCGACAACGTGTGACAATGTAGCTATATACAGCACTCCGTTGTTGGTAGCTGTATAAGTTGCTAGCACGGCTTGACGTCAACGGATGAAACTCGCTGGACAGCTGCTGTATGCCGCATTGCAGTAAATGCGTTGGTTAACAGCCCTCTGATGACCCGTGTTGAAATTGCAATTTACCTGAATTTTTAATTGTCCATTACTATCAAAATTTGTATGGATGGTTGTTAGTACAAATTATCAAGGTTGTCGAAACGGTCAAACAAAATAAAAATGTATAATTTGCTGAATGAATTTGAATGGATAGGTTTTAGAAAATCTCTCCTATTTGTTAAGAATTAATAAAGAAGGTTAAAGATGATCAACAATCATGATTGCATTTACGGTTATTTGTTTAATATACATACAAGAGTTTCGTACAAGTAAAGTTAATTTGGCATTAACATGTAAATGCAAAAGTAACAACTACTGTTTTTGAAATTGAATACCTTATATATATAAGCGTTTCTTCTCAAATCTTAATGGCGACATGAAACATTTGCTTTTCAGGTTTCCAGTAGAACTTTCCACAATGTTGGCATTACTACATAAATGTTTCTTCTTGGTGATGGTAATATACCTCAGCTCAGAAATGTTTTGTGATGGTAGTGATGAGGAAAATTTTTCTCATATTTACAAAAATCTACTTGGATTTGACTTTGATATGGACTATGTTATCAGAGAATATATGAAGGTTTGTCCAACAGTAACAATATGTGGCGATAAAAATGAATCATTTATTGACACATTGACTGAATATGATCTTTTTAACCTTCCTATCCAATGTCCTAATTGTAGTTGTGAACAAGACTGTGTCATAAATAATAATTGCTGTCCAGATGTGATATATGGCTACCTTCAATATGACTGTGTCAGTTCCGTAAAACATAAAGGTAAAGAGTTCTATAATGAAGAGAAATTTTCAATGATTGCGTCATGTCCACAATCCTGGGTAGCTTCACACAATATGACCAAGCAACGTGAGAGTATTTTACCTGTCACATCCTTCTTGACCGGACTGACATATCAAACTGTGGAGTTTGCCCAATGTAACGGGGATAACAAGTCGTTGGCAACATGGAACACGACATTCTATTGTCAAAAATTTACAGGATTTTTTCGAGGAAGTCATTATCAATTCTTTTGACGAACTTTTACGACACCTTGCTGAACGAAATTGTGAAATTAGACTCTCTGTTACATATCCAACCGTTCCTAGCCAAGCCGTTTGCGATGGTCCAATGTACATATTAATGAAAAAATACTTAAAAGAAAAAGAAAAAGTGGACAAGTGTAATATCACGGGTCTTTGGGAAAAGTTTGATCCGTACATTGATTTTGCATGCCAACATTTGTCTTTGACATTTGGAGACTACAAAAATGTTTTTTGTTACATTTGTAATCCAGGACTGTCTATACAATACCACTTGAATAAAATTACTATAAGCACATGTGATAGCGCATACAGTAATGAAAAGATTCGGAATGCATGCATAACAAATGAACAAACCACCTATTATCTACCATATAAAAATGTGTTCTGCCTTTTATGTAACAGTAGACCTTATCCGTTTGTATATGTCAGAGTAGGATTGCTGGAAACATGGGTACTTGTTCAGAATATCGACGAAAACATTGTTGCTAGAGCGATTGGTCAATTCTTCCATATTGAAAATTCATGTAAGAATACATCACGTATTAGTGGTTTCTTTTATGAAACATCGTTACATGAAACAATTAGACTCGACCAAACTGAACATTCATGCACCATCCCAATTCATATTCAAACTGGTTACGACACGAAAACAGAGGGCCCATTATCAGATTGTAGAGGCAACAACACTCTAAAACAAACAAACCTTGTCAAGGGTCCAATTTATAATTGTTCTGATTTCTCAGAAAAGTACAGCGTCGCAAAAGAAAATGGAAATTCGAGTTATGCGAAAGAAGAATTACTTTCAAGGTTCATCTTTCATATTTTTCTTTGCGATGAGTCGGTCAAGATGAATAACATCTGCGAATCTTATACAACAAATCAAATTAATTCATTCTCAATATCATCAAACGTAACAGATAATTCGTTGCCGTGCTTCATTTGCAACAATGGCAACGCTTATAAGGTAGAATTCATTGATGATAGGGCAACTGGGTTCGATTTTTTGATAAAGACCGTCTGCCCTATCTTTTTTGGGGCTAATCTTTTTCTGGACACCTTTTCATTTCTCGAAGCTGTACGTGAGAGCGACTGTTCAATTTGGTTTTACCCAACAGGAGTTCCCTATTCTTATTTCACTAGTATACTGGAAGATGATATCGACGACTGCATTGACTTTCCATGGATCGACCAATTGTCGTGCCAAAGTACAGCAGGAAGTTTTTATTTTGGTTCGTATAGAAAGTTGTTTTCAATACCTAACTCAAATTATGATTTGGAAGATATCTTACAAGGAGAAAGACAACAGTCGTCTAATATATCACAATATTGTGCTCAATCCATGGACAGATCAACAATAAACACAAACGTAAGTTTATAACCTTTAAACATCTCTTGTATTCTGCATGATTTCATTTTATTTTTCACTCATTTCATATTTAAAATCTTATCTAAAATTTATTTCAAAGTGATACCAAATCATATGTCATGTACATGGAAACGTTCGTTTTTAATTCATTATAATTTGAAAAATGAATGACGTACTATATAAGTACTTTAACAAATAAGAAAGAGGATTGTTTTGATTTTTTAAATGTAGTTATCGTAACTCACTTATACGATTTAAGATCTTATCATTTATATCTGCTTGAAAACATCTGATCATCTCACTTTCTTAAAGACTTATAACGCTCATAACTACATGGAACGATAGCCATGTCAAGTAGATGAGCGGCAGTATGTTTAAGATCTCAGTGACCAGTCCTTTCATACGAACACATCGTACGCTATATTTCTACAGATAAGTTTGTCATGACCCGTAGATGACACTCATTGCTCTTTACCACTTCAGTCATTTCTTCATACTGCTATCCTGAATTTGAAAAAAAGACTTCATGTAAAAAGGAATGATACTTTGTTCAAAGAAAACATTCCTGGATGACAAAGCAGTTGAATTACATCAATACCACTTATAATATGAAAGGAGAAAAGGGTTAAAGTATCTCTCTTGGCATTTTAATATGATGCAGCTAATGATAGGACATTCTTCGTGCGTATAATGCTCCGACAGACAGAGCAGTGGTATAAATGTTTTAAAAAATGTTCTCATTTTTATTTCTCATAATCTTTTTTTTTTATTTTTGGTATTTTCTTTTATACTTTCCAACAAGCTACTCATTGGCCAATTACCTGAACTGTCTTCATCTTCTGTTGCTTTTTGGCAATTTGTTCATTTATAGTGATTAAGTATTTTATATGGAAGTCAAAATACTACCTTTGTTTACATTTTTGCTATTTTTGTGACATAATGTTTAACATTTAGCGCTATTTTCTGCATGGAAACAGGCATCTAAGATGCTCTTAAACCATCATTTAAACGTTATAAAATTCATGTTTAGTAAAAATTAATTAATTTCTGACGCATAATATGCTTTAATATTAAGTTGCTTAGTTTAATTATTCACAATTTGCCCCGAGGTCGCGTACTCGTTAAGAACTCGGACTACTGCTCTATCGACCACTTATTCATCGAATATTCACATAAATCTTAGGCGAGAATTATAATTAAACCTTTTTGGTATATACACGTATTGTTAATCATATTCAGATCATCTGTGACATTTATTATCAAATGTAACATGTGATTACTCTTCTTTTCAGGATTCTTGTCGTGAGATAGTTTGCTCACATGGCCATATTTTGATCAACAATGACTGTAGACATGAATTTGAAACTAACGGAAATGTTCTGTATCATCTAACCTTCAATGTTGCGGTCTCCAAATTAGAAAAAAGGACGGCTTTAGTAAAAGATGCCAGCACGTATCAAGCACTTGCCTTAAATCTAGATGTCATTGAAATTGCGGACATTTGTGCCATTATCCAAGACGTTATTCGGTATCAGCTGAACGAGACCATTTCATACTCTTTTACAGATTGTAAAGTGAGGACAGACACGATTTGCTCCGAAAACACTATTTCAGAAATATTTATTGGCTCAAATATTGAAATTAAAATTAAGATAATCATTCATTTTACTAAATCTTTATCTGTAGTTGAAAATAAGCTTATTTGGTCATTGGAAAGCGCACCAAGTACTTTTATTGTAGGCCAGTCCGGTGTTCAATTATTTTATTTGCGTCGTTATCGAAATCTGCATTTACATTTTTGTTTTAGAGTAAGCTATGATAATGATAGTACTTTTATTTCAAAAGAATTTATTGTCAGCAAACTTTTGACTTGTCCTCAAATAGAGCTTTTTGAAAATGAGTACGAAATTGATAATGTTTCAAATACTTTACTACTTCTGAATACCAAAAATAAAGTTGAGGATTATGATATATTAGATGGGCGAGTAAGAATTTGTTTAGAAGATTTTAAAGCAAATGTCCAAAAGGTATTACAGATACCATTACTTCAAAAAATCTATAAAGTTTTTGATAATGTCTGCACTATTCTATCATTGCTGGCTATATTGCTTGCTTTCATAACTTACCTAATTTTCCCATCTCTACGGACAGTTCCGGGCATAAATAATATGAGTCTAATATTTTCACTATTCTTTGCCCAGTTAACCCTTAAATTTGGAATCTGGCAACCAACAGATATGATTTTTTGCCCTGTGGTTGGAATTATGATCCATTTCTTTTGGCTCGCTACATTTTGTTCAATGAACGTTTGTTCTTTTCATATGTACCGCGTATTTAGTTCCAAATCTGTATTTTTGTTTGTGGCATCTCGGAAAACAAGCGTGTTGTATCTTCTTTACACGTACCTGTTACCCGTTTTGGTTATTGTATTAACAATATGTATACATCTGGCACTGTCTGATGGGGATGACTTTGGCTATGGCAGAACCATTTGTTTCCTTACACACTACATTTCTATAATAATATCTTTTATATGCCCTTGTGTTTTTGTTTTCCTGTTGAATATCCTGTTCTTCTTGAAAACAGTTTTTTCAATGAACAGGATCTTGAGCGATCCGCAATTAGAACGTTCATCTGAAAGGCGTGATGTTTTTGTGTATATGCGTCTATCAACCCTTCTTGGTATCGCTTGGCCCCTTTTGATTGTTGACGCGTTCTTTAAAATGTCGGTATTCTCGTTCATTGCGCTTACTTTCAACACTTTGCAAGGTTTTTTTGTCTTCATTTCTTTTGTCTGTAACAAGCGAGTTCTATTTTTGTATAAGTCTTGTATATTTGGAGGAAAGGCTTCACAAAAAAACTTGACCATGAAAACAACCGCACTTTAAGCAGTCTACAGCTTTTATTTTCTGTAAGAAAATTAGAAAAACAATGCTTTGTTGTTTCAAATTAAGTATTTCAGTAATTTTATGTTGAAAAAGTGCATCATACCACTGTTAAACAGCGTCCCGATATCTATTTAATTAAAGCGCGTCAGTGACGTTCGTTTCTAAAAATAGAAAATGGGAAACTAGTCGACCGCTTTACTTATTCCCTGCGGTCTGGAGACCGCAGGGTATTGGTACGCGTTTAACTTTTGAGGCATGGAGGAGCACGTGACCTGTTTTCGGTACATGGAGGAGCATGTGATCTGTAAACCGTATATGATTGGTTAATTGACCTTTTCGAAAACCCAGCAAAATACCGTTAGCCGGTACGTTACGGATTCACCTGTAGGGAATTAGTCCGAATTATACCTAATTGAGAACAAAAAACTATTACGTGATATTTCTAATTTTCTATAATTATTTTACCGTTTAAGGTGAAAAAACTTGAATGATGTGTTTGAAAATTATCAATGTTTCCTTAATATCTATCTCAAATTTTACAAACAATAAATTGTTTAAACTGAAAATCTACAAAATTAAAATATTCGTAGTGGCATCTGCCATAATAAATAGAGATATTTTCTGCGTAAACTTGTGTGTTTACTTAATTTATTTTTTGCTCGGAATTATTCATTTAATGGTAGGCCTATTTAATCATTTTCTTCAACGGTCACCAGTTTCCAAATACCTTCTTCTATATTGATCGATTATTGTCAACTATATTCCTGATACAAACGTTTATTTATCCCCCCCCCCCCCCCAAATAATGTTGAAAATAGTTAAATGAAATATCTTTATATCATTAAAATGTTCACCGCAGGAAACCATTTTACTAATTTACATATAGAGAGCGAACCGATAGATTAGAGGTATCGAGTGATTTCCTTGTTGTTTATGTATTTTTAGCGTCGGCAAATTTCGTTTTCCACCTTAGGTCTTTTGATTTGACAATTATATGACACACTTTGTCTAAAATTATATTAAGAAAAGCTGAAGGCCGCTTTAAAGAAAAGAGAAAGGTCCATTTTTGATTGTTTCTATTTTTACTTAATATTGTCGGATATGAACAGGAAGGACATTCCTTTTACTTTTAAGTCTTTTCTTCTGAAATCCTGCTTCTGCAGCCATTTACAATCGCATCTACTCGGCCCTTTTCGTAAGTCTTCGGATAAGGACCTCGAACACAATAGTATTAATACACAAAACGGATACGGTATTTCGGCCTTACTTACGCTAAGAAACTAGACATGTAAACAAATGGTAATTTAATGCTGGGAGTTGTTGACAAGTTTATTTCCAATATATCAAGTAAATGCCCACCTAAAATAAGTGAATTCATAGATACAAAAGTAAACAATACATATATTTGTATATTTATCATTATGGTTAAGTACGAAATGCCAACCTGTTGACATTCAGTCGCATTTGTTTTAATTGTACATCAGTGGGCATATTTAAATTAAAAATGGTTGTCAGATATATTTTCAATCATAATTGTAACGAAACGGACTTAATTTTCTTTTGGATGTCAATTATATATACATTCGTTTTAAATCTCTCTCTGAAACCACTTGGTAGAACTATTTTCACTCCGTATTGTTTCCGAGGTTATTATAAATAATAGCCGAGGCAGTTCCGAATGCAGCCGTTTACTGGAGTACACAGTGGTTACGTCACGCTTTGCTACTGTAATGATCAGGGGAAGTAACCGCTGTAAATCTAAGTGTTTCTTGTGAACAATGTATTTGAAAGTTTTTCATTACTGAATTTGTAATGTTGTTTGATTTGAAGTGTTACGCCTTCTTTATAAATGATTTTACATTTCGTTTCGTTTTTTTTTTATTATTATTATTATTTGCTGTTGTTGTTAATTATGTTTTTTTTTATTTATTTGTTGTTGTTTTTGTTGTTGTTTTTGCTGCCGTTGTTATAGTTTTTGTTGTTGTTGTTATTGTTATTGGCGGTGGTGTGTTTTTTCTTAATTATGTTGTTGTTGTTTTTGTTGTTTTAAAGGAAATGGTGTTTTGAAAAGTGATTGCTTAATATTGTTTTTTTTCCTCTTTAAAATGTTTGTTTTATTCTAAATTTAATCTTTAGTGTAGCAAATGAGGTAATTTGTCTTTGAATTTGTTGACGTTTTATAAATTTATTAAAGCAGATTTGTTTTTATTGTAAACTTTTTTCGCTTGACTTTATTGATTTTGCTTTAAAATTTTCTTTTAATAGAATGCGTTTTTATATTTTGTTTATTTGTTTGTTTGATTTGGGTTTTACGTCACAGCGACACAGTATAGGTTATTTGGCGACGTTCCAGCTTTACTGGTGGAGGAAGACTTCCGGTGCCCCTCCGTGCAATATTTTCAGCCACGAACGGGCACTTGAGTAGAACCACCGACGTTCCGTAAACTAGCTTGATAGCTTCGTCACATGAAAGAATCCAAAGTCCCTGTCGGGATTCGAACCCACAGAGGCGATGGGCAAGTAATTTGAAGTCAACGACCTTAAACACGCGGCCACGGACGCCCCGTTTTTATATTTAAATAATAAACAAATAGAACATATTCACCGGTTTAGTTTTGATTATTAACTCAGATGAGCAGAAAATTTTTCACCAACGTTATTTGGTTGGAAATTGATATAAACATCAACAACAACAAAACATGTTCAGATTAATGTTACTGAACAAATGATCCGCAGTTAGGAAAATGCAAATGTAATTAGAAACTTGTGATATTAAGAAAATGTTCTTGCATTTTTTCCCCGTTATATGTATATATAATGCATCATATAAATATATATTCATACTTGCTCGGGTATGTGTATGTTGTTCTTGTCGAATCAAAATAATGTAGGGCACCAAAGATTGACTCCACTTTATGGAGACCTTTTAACGCCTCCGTACTTAAAATATTTAAACGACTTGAATAAGATATGGGATATTACACGGAATTCGATTCTGTTACTGTTGAAAACAAATATTTTTATCGCCAATATTAAAATTTAAAAGCTCGCAGGTTTCGCTTGTCATGGCGTCAATTATTGCATTTTTCGAAATAATAAAATATTTTATACGATTGTATCAAGTTAACAATTACCATTTAAATAAACAAATGTCGATGTAACTTATTATTATAAAATATATTACAAGATTAGCTTTTAAAAAAAAAGCTAGTAGCGACTCGCTTCGTAATTTTTTTCCAGGGGTGTGTTTAAATGTAAAAATGACAGTTCTGTTAGCTGAAGAGACTTCAGCGAACATCAAAATAAAAGTGACATATAAAGTTATGGAAGCCAGTTCTCTCAGTTTAACAAAGAGGAATATGAGTATATATGAAGATGCATGTAAACAGATAGAATGAAGTCCCTATGTCTATGCACATTTACTATATGGCCTGTTGACCTTGACCAAAAAAATGTTAGATAGGTAGAATTCATAAAGATGTCTCTTTATACGAAGTTAAGTTGTAATATGTTATTTAGTATTGGAATGAGTGACAGACACAAGTCCTAAAGTAAACACAAGTTGTCAATCAATTCAGCCAGAAAAGCCGGGATCTTATTAAAAAATATAAGGATCCCGGAAATTGACCAGTCTAAGAAGATGTTTTTTAGAAAAGCCGGGATCGTATTAAAACATATAGGGATCCCGGGAATTGACCAGTTCAAGAATATAGTTTTCAGAAAAGCCGGGATCGTATTAAAATATATAGAGATCCCAGGAATTGGCCAGTTCAAGAATATAGTTTTCAGAAAAGCTGGGATCGTATTAAAACATATAGGGATCCCGGGATTTGACCAATTCAAGAATATAGTCTTTGATTTTTCCAATTAATTAGGCATATAATTATAAGTATTGTGATTTCCGCATTTTAAGTTTGTTAATAAATAGCTCTAAATATATCTATATCCTAAGTTAAATTAATTTAACGTTCATTACATACAATAAAAAAAAAATAAAAACTTAACGTTTAATGGCCTTTCATTACGACAATAATCAACACAAATATAGTTTATTAGTTTTTTCCTCTATATCTTATACGATCCCGGATCCCGGGCGTCCCGGATCCCGGCCAGTAAATACATACACTAAATACCGGAAAGGATAAAATGACCGGAAAAAAAGAAAAAGAAAAAAATGCACAGAACCAGATGTACACTTATGTTAATTAACCAAACGAAAACTTACTACAGAGAAAACAGGTGAAATCGCTAAATCAAAAGTCAGTGTAAATATGATTTATTGAAAAGAATTCATGAAAACAAACATTTTAATCATCATTATATCTTTGCGCTCAAAGCAATACTTGCTGCTTTTTAAAAATGGCGTGAAAATTGAAGGTTTTTTGACGCTATGTAAGATTAAATTTGATTGGCTAAATAATTTTGGATTCCAGCCCTGACAGATAAATTTTGTAGAAAGCTGGAAGCCAAGCTTCGATTTAATTTTTGGATGGATTCGGAGTTTTAGGTTGTTTCTCAGTAAAATCCTAACGTAATACCGGCTCGCCGTGGCGAGCCGGCATAAAGTTATTGTCCGTATAACATTTTGTAAAACTTCTTATTTTTGTTGTTCCGAATGTAAGTTAACTTTAAGCCTCTATCACATGAGTCGCACGAAATTTGGTTCGTTCGATTTGTACGTAGAAAGGTCACAGGCAATTTCAAAATCTATCTAGACAGATTTGTAGATCTGTCGAATACGACCCACGGTAGCCGTAAGACGCTCGTGCGACAAACCTGCAGTCCTCGCAATACAAACGCAAAACATTTTTATATAGATATCTTGAGTCTACCATGGGATTATCTTACGACAGTCTTGAGACGTCCAAAGTCTGTCAAAAATCGCAGGAATAATGTACATGTTGAGAAATCAGTCTGCGACGTTGCGACAATCTTGCGACCATAAAAAATCCGTACGAATGTCTTGCGGCTTCCACACGAAACACAGCTGTTTTTGTCAGTATTCGCTTGTACGGCTGCAGTAGGGCTGATTTGATAAAGGCTGTAAGTTTACGGAAACGTTAGTCTCGATTAGATGCGATTATGAGGTGTAAGACGACTGATTTTGTTCCATTTGATTGGAGGCCCTTTAACGTTTCCGTCAAAGCTGGAACAATGCATTTTTATAAAAGTTTTGGATCCAATAATTCAATATATTTTAACTTACTACATAAGTAAACAAATGATATAGTAAAACATTAATTATGTTCCGTGGCGTTTAATACGATTTTTAGGTCTAGTGCACAAATACAAACTTTTAAAAATCGTCAAAGACAGAGTACAAGATAACCACTTTGGGTAATCGTCAATTTCTCATAACATGAACGCTGTGTTGTGTTTTGCGCTTCTTTGTTTCTACTGATTTTTTGTTTGTGGTAATGGGGAAGGTTGTTGTACTGTCGTATGTAGCGGATAAGAAGGAAAGATCTTCCGATCTTGTTCTTCGTGTGCGCCTGATATCATCGACAAATTGGCATTTTCTTGAGGACGATGCGTGAGATTTGATGATTTTTCGCTTTCGAAACGCTGCGTTTGTAAATGTTTTGGCACGTTGCCTTCGATTCTTTGAAGACTAGTCATCCTTTGCGATTGTCCATTGGTCGATTTCCCTTTCGTACATGGTCCAAATTTAAGACAAAGGTAAAACATCAGCACTATCAAAATGGGACCGAAAACTGCAAGCAGAATTATCCACAAGTATGTACCACTTGAATCACCACCGCTAGATGTGAGGGAAAAAAAGGAATTTGCTTTTTAAAGATCAGTTAAAACAAGATTGCATTTGTGAAAAAAATGTTATGACACCGCATGAAATAGATCATTATTTTTGAGGGTTTTTTATACAATTGAACATTGCCATAATGCAGTAGTGTCTATTGACTTTAGGTATCAAGGCCAGATGTGTGCAAAAGCCATAGTTTAATGATTGATTCAAAATAGAAGTATTCTTACTTGATTTACATAGCTGTATTAATAATACCTTTTTCTGAAAACATAAAATAAAAGATTTACGATTTTAAACCATCATTAGAGACAAAATAATGTAAAATATTCAAAATAATCTATACAAGCTTCTTTTACAAGAGCAAAGGGTTTACATAATGTGAAACATAGTATCCTGAAATCATTTCATAAATACATGTATCCCTGAAAAGCAAACATCTGTCTTACTAGAGGTTCATAAACTTTAGACAAACTCCCAGCTATTGATTTTGTTTAGAAAAAATGATGGCTATAAAACATGGCTATAATTTGAACAATCTTGTTAGAAGTCCAGAAGACAATGCCTTCTACAAAATAGCTATGCTCTATGTCTTTAAGTTGTAGAGGATAATATTTTTAAAATTTCTTTCTATTATTCCTTTTGGTTGCCATGGTAACAGAATTCTGCAGTCCGATAACGATATTCAAAGAAATATTTAATTAATGTATATATCCTGGTTAGTCTTTCAAATCAGATTTTCGATTGAAAACAACGTTTCTATTTGCAGCAAAAGAGGTCAGTCTCCTTGGTTGTACCTTAAAACAAGTATAATTTAAACATATACTATGCTTGCCTTTAGGTAAGATACTTTTTACGCATAAATTAACTGAAATCTAGGATATTCTTACACAATATGTTTAGCTAAAAACTACATATAGTATGTCTTGGAAGCTGCTTTCCCTATAATTGGTCAAGTTGATTTGGACATTTCTTAAAAATAATGCCAGTTATTTTTTTTTTAATGACACTATGCATTCATACAGCATTCATCAGTATTTTCATATTTTTTTGTTATTCGAGGAATTGAAAATTATATGCGGCATATTTACTCACCTGCTTGACACTATACCACCTCCGCTTGTTCGTATTCCTCCGCGATTTCGTCCACCACTACTTCCACCAACTCTCCGGCATTCGACAGCTACAGAAATAAAAAATAAACTGAAGTCAATGCCAGAACAGAGGTACTGTGTGAATGACCGTAGAAAGGATTTCATGATCAATCACAACAAATTAACCTGCACCGTCCGGGAATAGAACCAGAGTCGTCCGATTCACAGTCCGACGCTTTTCCTATTGAGATAACCGGACGGCTTTCTTAGATTATTCGAGATTTATCGTCTTATATATATATATATATATATATATATATATATTCCAAATTCACTTAAAAAAGTCTTTCAAAATATATCCAATAAATATTCCATAAATAAGTGTCACTTTGAAAACTAAATTATCTGAAATATACCTAGTACAAGCAATGTAAGTAATACGATGAAAAATGCTTTTATTTTGCAGACCTTCATTATCATAAGAATATTTTCTAAATTTAAAGTAATATTGTTTGTACAAAGTATTCAAAAACTCCTATAATGGGCTATAAGATATTCCTCTTTGCTTGACTGATTTTTTATTTCACCGAGAATGTGTGATTTTAACATTTTATTGTATTTAACATTTTGAAATTTTAGCGAAAGAATGCGGAAGTAAATCCGGGTATTTTATATACTTATATATAAATGAAAAGCCCTTGGAATGTAATATACACATGTACATTATACATATTTGATAATAGTCAAGTTAAGTATATATGTCATTTTACAAATTCATTTTATAAATATTAACAAACAGCTTTACACTTAAAGTTTAATATCAAAGTGCAGCCTGGATACAAATAACCATGTAAAGTGCTCAAATACACCTGGAGGATAAATCCTTAATAGTCTTATATCAAGCTTGCCGGAAGCCAATGGTCCTTCTAAACACACAAAATGATGGGACAGACATGATGGCCTGCTTGTTTCTACTAAATTGCGCAGAAATGATGAATTTGTCAAAATGTTTTGATATCTTTTAATAATCAAGAGCATTCATTATTTACACGTGAAATTACTAATTAGCTTACAGTTCTTATTAATGTAAATTTCACCAATTTAATAAAGAACGTTTAAGGGCTTATATAATCATATCATGGATTTTAAACTGACCAATGTTGAGACAATTTCAGATATCTTACACAAACAGTTAACGTATTGCTGAATATAAAATTATTCAAAGTTTAATGGCCTTCGTTGAAGAAAAAATATTAGCATTAATTCATCTTAATAATATAATCCGGTATCAACAGATATTTCCACAAGCCAGTCAAAGTCACTATCAAAATATTCGAATATGGACTACAGTATATATGTTACCCAGATTGACATCATTAAAATTTTCAAACGCCGTTAAAACTCGGCGACAATTGTGCAATCGGCTTATAATGTTTAAATCGGATCCTCCTGTTATACAATCTAACCATATGTTGTTTTTCTTGGTGGATTTTCATCTTTGAAATGTAGATCAAATTATAACATTTAAAGTAGAATGATGATCATAACTGAATGTATGTATTGGAATTAGTTAACTATTTCTTTAGAAAAAATATCATTAATTCCGAAATTTTGAACTGAACATTTAACAACGAATGAGTTAAGATACCGATTAATGCTAATAATGCATAATGCCAATTTAAAAACATGAACTGTAAAATAGTGTAGACACATACCAAATATGAAGATGACATGTCAAGACATGCAAGGATATAATAATAATAAAATATAGATTTACAATGTTAGACTTATACATGACATGGATTTTTTTTAATAAGGAATGTATATTTGAATGATAAAAAAGCTTTCTTTGGTTTTAAATACCAGCACAGAATCAGAATGGTCAATGAAAAGTTATTTTTCATAATTACTACTTAGGAAAATTGGCAATTAACTACGGTTAATAAAAATGAATTTGAGCACGAATTTCCCCGTTCTTTAAAATTTAATATTAAATTTGGTAAATGCTTTCTAATGAACACTGATTTGTACTTAAATGCATTCTTTACACATAAGATATTACTATTCTTTAATATAAAAAAGATTAATGTTAAGCAATGCAATAAATATTGTCGAATTCGCATGTAAAGATATGACGCTCATTAGAAACATATATTTTAAAGTTTTCATCTCTGGGAAATGCCTAATCTAAGGTTGCAGGAACTTGTTGCACAAACTATTTGATCAGTACAGAACATAACAGAACGAGAGGCACAGATAACAAGGTGTCATTTTGTAATTACATGTGTACAAATATGTATCAATATTAAATGGGTATCATAATTTAAGTTTCATGTGGGGAAAGTGGATATTATCAACATACATATTTCATAGATAAATATTATAAACTTTTAACAAAAGAACTAAAAATATATACTGGACATGTCTTTGCAAATTTTGGACGATTTAATCTCAAGTTATCTAGAAAATCAGGGAAGAGGTAACACACGCGCACGCACAAACACAAATAATATATGTTGATATATTATTTGTATATGATTTTATATGTATGTGCTGCAATAAATTGACATGAATAAAGTAAATGTCGATTGTGTTTATAATTTGTTATATATGAACAGCTACAAAAATGGTTGGGTAATTAAAAAGGCATTAACAAGAAGAATTTAAGTAACTAATACAAAAAGTTCATAGCTTTATAACTTTATTAAGATCTGTGTAGTTTTACAATTTTTATTAACCCTTAGCTATAAAGAAACTTTAATAATGCATGAATCGGGTACAAAGTATCTAAAATAATTTCAATATTTTTACTCTAGTTTGTCAATAACAACAAAATAATGCAAAAAAAAAATAAATAAAAAATAACAGTTTAAGAATGTTTTTGAAAATCGTCTTCGACAAAATGTACAAGATATAGCAATAGTCCATTTCTCATAACATGAACGCTGCGTTGTGTTTTGCGGATCTTTGTTGGTACGGAATTTTGGTTTGTTTAAATGATGAAGGTAGCTGTACTACCGTATGTAGCGGATAAGAAGGAAAGGTCTTCCGATCTTGTACTTGATGTGCGCCTGATATCATCGACAAGCTGACATTCTCCTGAGGACGATGCCTGCGATCCGATGAGTTTCCGGAACGCTGCGTTGGAAATTGTTTTGGCACGTTGCCTCCAATTCTTTGAAGACTCGTCATCCTTTGCGATTGCTCTGTTGCCGATGTCCCTTTCTTGCATGCTTCATATTTATAACACAGATAAACAATCAATGCTACCAAGATGGGACAGACGATCGCAACAGGAAGTATCCACCAGTAACCAATTGAACCGCTACTGCTAGATCTATATGTAAGAAAAGGAAATTAATTTTAATTTTCGTGAAAAATGTAAATACCTAGCATAATATGCTTATTGTTGTTTCTTGAGTCAGGCTTCTTGAATGAATCTAAAAATTTTTTTAACTTAATGCGATCATTAAATGAAATTAATGGACACTTTAAATTCATATGTGCCGTATTTACTCACCTTGTTGACCTATTACCACCTCCGCCTGTTATTATTCTTCCGCGGCTACGCCCTCCTCCACTGCCACCACCACCTTTCCGGCATTCGGCAGCTATGTAAAGAAAAACACAAATTAAGTCGTAGTATTCATGATTTAATTCAAAATTCGTTTAAATTGTTGTGAAAATTGGTCATGCTTTTATTTATTTGACAGCTTTAAATAGACGTAAAATGTAATATCGTTAATTTATCGTAAATTAATTTTTATTAACATTTTCGTTGAATCTTTCCTGTCGAATTTGAGGAACCAGTGATTTGACCTTTATATCTACAAACATTACACACTAATCACTATTTTAGAGATCGCCTTTTACATTGACCGATTGTTTTACTTCCTCATAATTGAACATTTGTATAATATATTGCAGAGAAAAGTTGTACTGTTCAAATATATATATATATAAATTAAACGAGAACAATAAATACAACGATGTTTAATTTGTTGCTTGTTTTACTTTAATCATCGCGATCATCAAACTGTGCCCTCGCAAGTCTGATTAAAACCCCCGCGGGAACAAAATGTCTCTTTTTCCTGACCTTGACATTTCTCTCTGCACATTAACAAAATTACTTAAGATTTTTTTTCACTAAATCTATTGTCTTATATATCCCATATTCACTCAAAACAACGAAAGATATTTATTGCGTATCCAATTAATATAATCATAAGTGTCTGACAATTTGAAATAAAATATCTCAATGCTACCTAGAACAAACAGCGCCAGTAATAGGATGAAAACTGTTGTGTTTTTGAAGACCATCATTATCATTACAAGATTTTCTGATTCTAAAGTAATGTATACAAGTGTAATACTTAAATACTCATCGATTTTGATAATTTCGAAATATATAATATTGAGCGTTGCTCGACTGATTTTTTAATTCACAGAAACTGTATATATGACTACTGATGATGAATTATTTGTTATTGATCATTTTGCAATTTAAGCCCTAAAAACGGAAGTTTATTCGGGTGTTTTATGTATAAATAAAATACCCAGGGAAAACATTATATACATAGTATATACATAATACATATTTAATATGAGTCAAGTTAAGTATCTAAAATCACTGATGTAGAAAATATGTATGTTTTGTGGTTGTGTATATAATTATAATAGTAACAAAAGTTATTTTTTTCGTATTCCTAAAATTAGAGTATAATCTAGTTTTCAAAATCACTTACTAACAAATTTCTTTAAATTTAAAAGCTTAAACTGTAACATATTTGTCACTCATGTAACAATGCTTAATACAAGGAGGTGCAACTACTATCTCTGAGAAATCAATCAGTTAGTACTAATTTTTTTATATATATTTACATACAGAAGATCCTCTTCCTACAATAAGGTATCATAATAAGAACTTAGGTTTTTACTGTAACACATGTTGTCACTACTGTAACATAAATTATGCAAAATGAGCATCATTCTATATCGCATACTTTAAAAAGTAAACCATTATTTCTAATGTATAATCTGAAAACTTTAAGTTTATAAAGTAAATTTAAAAGCTACGTTTAATTTAATTGATAATTGTTTTAGATGTATATTATTTGGTCATTACTGTTACAAAATCAGTCATGATAATAATGACTGTTACATGAGTTGACTTATTCAATGTAAATCTAAGTAAAAGTCGTAACCATGTATCCCTAATAGATGCGAATCGTTCTTACTGACTTTTATCATATATCTTACAAATTCTCATCAGAGTTGTAAATGCACAGTACTTAAAATAACAACATACTACTTGTTACAGAAATGACAGGAATAAAATTACGCAAGTGCTTGCCAACAGCAGAATGTTTTTACTATGAATGAAGCAAAAGCTATGAAAGATTCCCTAATAGTCTATGGTTTCGAAGAAGACACAGGACTTACAAGAAATGACGAAAGCAGTAACTGTGAGGAATTGTTAAGAGAGTTCCTTGGCAAATTCTTATTACATGACGATGAAGTGGGAAAAATAGAAATAGACAATATATATAGAGTGGGCAGAGATACAGCGAGAAAGCCAAGACCCATTTTAGTAAAGTTTCATTACTATAAACAAAGAGAAAATATAAGAAAAATTGCCTTTGAAAATAGAGAAGCAATCAAAAGAGCTGGGTATGGTGTCGGTATACAACAACCAAAAGAAATAAGAGATGCTAGAAAAGCATTGTACCCCATCATGAAAACTGAAGAAGCAAAAGGGAAAAGAACATATTTCATCGGGAAGAAGTTATATATTAATGGAGAGGAATACAATGATACAACACCAAGATTTGGATAAAGGACCGGAGGGCGCAATACTAGAGCAGAAAGCTCATATTCATCACATTAGGACAGTCGTCGGGATGATATTCGCATAATTTCATGGAATATTAATGGACTTTGCAAAAAGATAAGTGATCCAGACTTTATAGACATTATATCTAAGTACCACATTATAATTTTATCAGAGACATGGTTATCCGAAAAACATTCATTTAATTTTGATATAAAATCGTTTCAATGTGAGCATTTATATGGATCTAAATGTAGAAACACCACCAAGGGTCGTTATAGTGGAGGAGTATCCATTTATTATAAAAACTTTCTTAAAGATAAAATTAAAATTGTGGAAAAACATAGTAATGGAATTATTTGGCTGAAAATAGGTAAAAGTTTACTGTCAATTGATGATGATCTTTACATATGTAATGTTTACCTACCACCTAGGAATTCTAATATATTAAAACAGTTTGATATAGATTTTTTTTTGATCTGATAGAACAAGGTATAGAAAAATATAGTTAATTAGGAATAATTGCATTAAATGGTGACTTTAATAGTCGTACAGCAGACGAGAGAGACTTTATATTATATGATAATTATATTGACAATGACAATTTTGAACAATTTTTACCTCTATCTCTTAATAGAACAAGTAAAGGCAATATCTTAGATAATCATGGTACTAGATTGATTGAATTGTGTAAAGCTTCAAATTTACAAATTGTTAATGACAGATTACACAAAGATAAATCTATAGGGGAATTTATTTTTCATAATTTAAACGGAAATAGTCTGGTAGATTATTTTATCATTAATTTTAAATATTTTCCACAAATATCAGATTTTGAAATTCTACATGCAAATGAGATTTTGAAATTCTACATGCAAATGAATGTCACGTGAGATGTTTCGGAAAATTCCCATGTATTTATTGCGTGGGAGGACGATAAGCGTGAATCATTCATAAATTTACTACGCTCGCATCACTGCGGTATACCGTACCCCGGATATTGCTCGATATTATGAGGACTTTCATCCCATTTCGCGACTTTGAACGAGGAAAGAAGGTATGTTTAGTGACGATATTTAGTCATTTTGAATTGGTTTGATATAAATTTTGTAGAAAAACAAATACTACGATAATTTCTCTAGTTACTGAAACCCCAAAAATGTTGAGAAATAGCTTTGAAATTAGGAGGTAAAATTCGTCTTTTTGCTCACGTGATAAATGAGCTCGGATCAATCAAATTTGATGTTTTTGTGCATATACTTCTTTAAAAGAAAAACTTGAATCGAGTGAAATGTGATAATGATGATAATGTTTATGTTGTAAATGTTCAATCAACAATAGAACCTCAGATGACAGTGCATTTTGAGAATAAATACACATGTCAGTGTACCGAGTATTGCGTTGGAGTTGCCCGCCGGTGTCACGAGTATTGCTTTTAGTGTAACGAGTATTGGTTATCAATGAAGAGTAAATGCAAGTAGTAAACACAAAGTATTTACCACATTTAATTTTAAATATTTCTTACTGTGTATACTTATTTACACTATATGTGCAGAATATGCAGAATTCGGAGGTACTTTACTGGAAACATCTGCGAATAATCCAGATTTTCACTCCTGCTCGTGAAAAATCTCAGCCGAACGAACTCAGCAATTGTCTGTGTTTAAAATGTTCTCGTTGCTATCGAAGGGTCAACCTTTCCAGAATTTGTTAATAATTATTGCATATCTTACTTTAAACAGTAAATAGCAAAAAGATGCTTCCAAAGTGCATTAGTGCTGCTTAAAGATTGTCAATATTAGACGGTATTGAGCAAGTGTGCCAAAATCTAATATCAACCGACTTCCTACTATGCCAAAAATTCATAAATGTAACTTTCGTGAAATTTGTACGTCATTAGCATTGAGTTACCGTATGACTGCCGAGCGGGTACAGCTCAAAAAACCGAATTAAGGATTTTTATTAGATTATGATAAAGGGCAGCAGATGCAATAAAAATGTTATGTTCCTTATAATCTTTAACCTCATAAAGGCGTGTTTTGAAGGCTTTACACCCAACCCAGTTTGAGGCCTCAAATAGTGTAAAACATTTGCTATTTAGGCCCCAAACACGGTTTTTTCGTTTGAGAAATGTTGTTCAAAAGAGTGATCAACTTTTTCGGCGCCACCCCATCAAAAAGGTACATCAAGGGGTTACGTAGGCGGGGGGATGTGCCCCCTTCTGTTTGGGGGTTTGAAGTGGGGCAGTAGCCCCTCTAATCGCCGAGAAGACTTGGGACTTGTGGGGCTAAATGGCCTCAGGTCGATTTAAAGGTACCGTGTAATAAACGCCTAAAACCTAAGACTTTATATCAATCAATTGAGAAGTTGGTGCACCTTGAAATCAGTTTTGATGGGAAAAAAACAACGCAAAATAGAGGTTTTTGGCAATTTTGAGACGCCCCCCCCCCCACCCCGTTGCCATGATAATTGGAAATTTAAAATTGAGCATGCTATTCCACAGGCTATGGTCCAGCTAACATTTGTGCCCAGTTTGATTTTGATCAGTATTGAAGCATTTTTTATAGTTTCATAGCAGTTTGAACTTGTAACAAAAGGCTTGAAAACAGCCATTTTTCGCATTATGCTCATGCAGTAAAAGGTTAAGACGATACCGGCATGCTTGGACGGCATTAGCCCTGGGGCCAATATTTTATTAATTTCGTCGATATGTTTCTTAAGGCAAACTTGCCCTGTAAAACCTATTATTAATGTCATCTAAATATGTTTTTTTTTTTATTCTTGTCCATTTCAGAGATGGTTCTCCTTGATCAAAGTGTCTTGAGACATGTATTTAAAGTTTTTTATCGTCAATTTTGATGGTTCTACCCTGCTTCCGTCCCCGCGCACACTTTATTTCATCCATAGTGTGATTTTCAACCAAATTGGAAATTAAATCTCTGTATTTGCCCGTAGGAAAAGAACAGTAATAACACTGAAAATGCACTGTTGAATCTGAAATATTTGAATAAATATCATATAAACAAGTACATTATCAGAAAAATGAAATAAAATCGATAAACAGACGTAAAAGTTAGACAAAAATATCGAGTTTCCATACTAATGTGCTCATTCTGTTTTGCAATACTCTGTACACTAAAAGTTGGGCTATTTTGCAATACTCTGTACACTTAAAATCAATACTCGGTACACTGTCTTGTATCTTTTTTGGCCTGTATCTTTTTGTACTTTCACACTTTTTGCCTGAAATTTGGACAAGGCATACTTGGATTGTGAATAAAAAAATTGCTCGATTCAATTTTTTTTATATTGGTAATATAATAATTTCTAACGATTCTACAGTATCGCGGTCAGTATTTTCTAGTGAGCAGCGGATCGTTTAGGGGTAGTTTAATCAATTTTACAAATAGCTGTAATATTTTTACGTCTTTTAGAGCTACAAAAATACCTCTAGATATATAAAACTCGTTTAGACAAATGAAATAGCCATTAGTTTGGAAAATATCGTCGCTGAACTTACCTCCGTTCCCCGTTCAAAGTCGCGAAATGGGATGAAAGTCCTCATAATATCGAGCAATATCCGGGGTACGGTAT